TAGCAGAGTAAGTCTGATTTCCTGTAAGGACTTCTCTGTTGGCATCCACCCCTTGGCGATGTTTCTCGGATGGATCATGGCGTTTCTTGAAATGCCCAAAGTAGGTTCTATTCTAATACATTCAAGGGGAGTTTTGACGTTTCTATATATCTTCTGTTCGTCTTAGTACTTCTTTATTTTCTTCTCTTTTTTTTGTCTCCACGATGTTCTTAGAGTTTTTCCGTAACAGTTCATTTCGACTAAAGCTGTAAGTCTTTTTTGTTTTAATCTTGTTCTTTGGCGGTGAAGGCTGCATGGTGTTACTCACGTGACTGTGTCTGGGTCTCTCTTGTTGAGGGCTGTCCACAGTTCCTCAAACGTCATCTCTTCATCGTTGTTCACGTCAATCTCATCGAACCAGCTCTGTGGGAAGAAAGATGTGACGATTTTTATTGTTTGCTATAAATAAACTGCAATTGAGATTTTATTCTATACATCTATTTCTTCCGCCCCTTAAATAACCTAATAGTGTTGATAGGGGCGTTAAACCCTTACCATTTCACCATTTTCACATCTATTTCGGTCTCTACAGCTTTATACAGACAATACTCGACAATGTCTATTCAGACGATGTTCGATTTCATAGGTAGAGACGATACTTGACTACATCGATACAAACAATACTCGACTACTTTGATAGACAATACTCAGTGGGTAGTGTACATCTGCTCTAGGTTGGTGAGCTCCTTTTTTTTTAAAATCCAACATCTATCGTCCATGTCTCTCCTTCTTTTCTTTGTATGTTACTCTCTAGTACAACTCTAATCCTAGGCACTTATTAGATATAATATGTGTTGCAAGTGTCATTAAACACTTACTGAACCTATTATGGACAAACAGCAACATCAATACAGACATCGATACAGACAATACTCGACGACATCGATACTCGACAACTTCGATACAGACAACACAGACAACATCGACACTCAACAACATCGACACAGACAATATCGATACAGGGAATACTCGTACAGCAATTTCCTCGGTGGAGTCGGGGCAGCCCCCTCTCTGCAGCACCTTGCACAGCTCAAACTTGCTCAGGGTTCCCTTCCCATCGGCGTCAGCCTCGTCGAAAAACTTGCGCAGTTTGGCTTCCATTTTGGCCATCCTGGAAGAAACACAGAATGAAAATGATACCATTTAATTAATGGTGTAAGGGGCGCATGTGTTATTAGATGTAAAATGTATCAGGTGATCCCTAAAAACTTTACCCACGGTGTAAAAAATTGTGCATTTTTTCCTCTACTTCTTTTGTATGTTTGTCACTCTCTTGCGAACTTCTATTTCCGGGGTGCCTTGATAGTCGAAGCAGACTTTGTGCTGTTGAGGCTAGAGAGGTGAGCAGCGTAAGCCTGATTCTCCGTTTGGACTTCTCTGTTGACGTCCACACCTTGGCGCTTATGCAGTTGCGAGCGCCGTAAAACACTTACAATTGTGTCAATTTTCTTCCTTTTTTGGGGGGAGGGGGGGCGTAAAAACACCTACAGACATTTATAAATTGTTTATTTTTTGTTTGTTTTAGTTGAGGTTTTACGGCGCTCACAACTGCATAAGGTCATATAAGTGCCGAAGATTAGAGGTGTTACAAGAGAGTAACAAACAGGAAAAAGAAGGAGGGGAGATAAGGACGATAGATGTTTGATAGGAAAGAAGGAGCAAACCACACCAGAGCACCCGTCAACCACCCACTGTTTATTTTTAAGTATAAGAACAACAATATATTATTATTAGGCCGACATGAAGCAGATGCTGTCTCGTTGTGGAATGTAAACTTGAGACTCGTCATGGAAATTGAGACGACAAAATAAAGTGCGTGGTGGTGTGCAACTTGTGTGACGTAACTGGAGTGGGTGTGGGGGAGGGGGGGAGTAATATAAAGATGG